AGAAAAGCAAAATGTCTGAATGAAAATACAGTCATGAGCTTTACTGAAGTCAGTGAAAGAGCCCCACAAGTTCATTCAAATGTCTTCCCTGGAATAACTCATTTCTTGCTGAAAAACTGCACTGTTCTTATGGGGGTTAAACATAATATTTGTTTTACAGTGTGACTTCATCACCATCCAAATTGCTTCTACACTACACATACCAACCACCCCACCTGCTCCTGCTCCTGCTGTGTATTTTAAATGACTTTACAGAATCCTTTTTACTTGCAAACTAGAGTGTCTCACAGTCAATGGGACTTCATCATATATGTTTTACAAAAGCACATTTATTTCATAGGGTGCTGAAGTCCTTACTGATTGTATATAGGAATTCAGATTAGAGTTTACAAACACTATTTTTTCTGATCTGTTATATTGTGATTCCTTTCATCTTCAAATTTCCTCCCACTTTTCAGCAATTTTGTATTAGTTCTGAACCATTTGTATGTCTATATTCTCTCTTTAATACTCTCACTCCTTTTTATCTTTATCAGCTTATTTCTGCTTGCTTTTCCTTCTTGTTACGGTTTTTCACTTCTGTCTTCTGTATTTGCACTCATCCCCTTTCCTTCCTTTCAAGCTAACAAATGTAGACTGTATTTACAGACTGGATTTTTTTTAAGAATAACATATCAAAGTCAGACTACAAATATTACTCATGCCTGATGTCAGTTATTCACTGCTTGTCACTTCCAATGCACACATCACTAAAGAACCTTCACTGACACTCTGGCCCAAAGTATAAAACCTCTACCACTACATTTCAAAAAACAACAAATCTTTTCATGTATCAGCTGTCAAAAGAAGCTCTCAGAACAGCCAACAGAGAAAGGGACACAGTCACTACCCACATGCACTATATAAATATGATGAGATACCTACTAGCAGCAAGAGCTGATAACTTGGGGTAGGGAGGAGGCCCTTTATGAGTAGTTCCAATGCAGTAGTAACATGGATTGATTTTTTTCTCTCTCTTTTTTTTTTTTTTTTCCCAACCTCCCCTTGCCAGGGTATCTGGTGCACTCTTCAAAGCAGGTCCTGGAGGTAGCAGTGCCTGGAATACACCTGCAGGTCCACTGGAGGAACACTGTGGGTGAGTGCCAGCATGGTATTGCACATTTGGGGCTAGACAATGTATAAGGCCATGTTGTGCTGCCTGTTGTGCTGCTGGATGAGCTATTCGTGGCAGAGAAGCCAAGTGAGGAAGAAAAAGCAAGGCTTGGAAGGTCAGGTAGTTTCATATTCTGCAGGGAGTGTTGCTGCCACCCCTCTTCATGTAAACTGGAAAAAAAAAAAGGGAAAGAGCTGATTCAGGGCAGCAATTCTTGCAGATGAAGTTCTTGAGAAAGTGGTATCTGTTCCTACTAGTAGAGTGCTTTACCAAAGAGGAGAAAAAACATGTACATAACTATAAAGGCAATACAAGATTTCATGTGTTAACCTTATACTTCAGCCTTTCATTAAGACTTTTGCTTGTCACATTAGCGTGTTACTGTGATTGCAAAGTGCTTCAGTATAAGCAGCCTGTCCTAGTACTTAAAAAATTGTACAAATACAAAAGATAGCATGACATAAACATTATGATTAATTTATCTTTGTATATCATAGTTGTTTAAATAGCAAGTTATTAATTTCTACATACAATTCAGCTCACGCTCATCTTTTAATATTCCTTCTTTTTTTTCCTTTACTGTTCCCAAGATCCTTGTAAAGCTGACCGTCTTTTCTGAGGAAAACAATAAGTTACTACATCTTTAAAAAAGGCTACAGCAACTTTCTTTCAAAAAAAATGAACACTACTGTCTGGGTTAATAATTTACTAATCCAGACCATGTCTAGTTCTTGAGAACTAGGTGTGTTGTTTTGTCATTTTCCCCATGTGCTTCTGAGCTAGTTCTGCACCTCGCACAACACTTTAATAATGGAGAGACCCTGAAATCAGAACTCACAGCTTTTTGGTTTATTCCCACACTGCAACTCAGCTGGCTTCGGTGATACTCAGTCACACTCAGCAATCCTGTCCTCTCTTGAATTTTCTAGCTCCTGGGAATTAAAGGAGAAAGCCATGCAACAGGCAATGAATGACTTCTGTAGTCACTCTCCCCTAGTGTTTACTGTGTGCTAAAGGATCTGCTAGATCCTTCTCATCTCCTCTTCTGATCTAGACTTCCCTGATAGCATCACTTCCCATGCTGGCTTGATTAGCTGAAGAAAAGAAATGCCTGCCCCAGTGTTTGAGAGCTGTGCAACAGCCAGAGAGCTGCAGGCTGATGTGAGCATAGGAGTAGGGTGGGGTTTTTTTCCGTGGATGAATTATGTTCTGCAGTTTAGTGTCATCACATTTTCTATCTGTTACTAATTCTGTTGTTATGTGCCCTTCTCTAATACGGTCATGAGTTTGTTCTTATATTCCTCTCGTAGAATACTGGGAAATGTGATGCTCTGTGGTTTTAGTCCCTGTAATGAGAACAAGGCAGTTCTCCTCACACACAAAATTTGTAATTATACACGAGTATATTGTGTTACTAACAACTAATTAGAATCTCTGTTGAAATGACATTACTTTATTACATATCATTAACATAACATGTCAAAACTAGCATGACAGTTATTTTTATATGAAAAATAAGCTAACTTTTTAAGTGAAAGCAACAAAGTTACAGTAATTTTATTATCAGTAATATATTTTATATTATTGTATTTTAATATATTTTATATTATTGTTAATGAGGCACGGTCATTTGGTGTATGATCACACCAAAATCACAAAAAGTGAATTTTTTCTTTAAAATATGTTAGTGATTATCAATTTCGTCCTCTGCGTTTATTATGCAGGTTAAATAAAATTCAAAAAACATGAAATGCCCAAGGGGGTGCCCTGAAATTATAGCATTAAGATAATGTTTTGCTACATATTCTTAGAGCACAGGGTACACATTAACTAATTTACTCTCCTCCTCCCTGAAGTAAAAAATATTATTATCATATTGCATACATTTAAACAGAGACAAAGAACTGAAGTGAATTCCTGGTGGCCAGACAGCAAGTAAAATGCTGGTGTGGGGATAAGGACACAGGGCTCTGCACTTTCGAGCAGGCTGAATACCAGGATATCACATATGCTTCTCACTCATGGATTTAACTGAGGGCAAGGACAGTAAACCACCTGTCGCTAGTGAAAAGGTGTTTTGCAACTACCAATACACACCTAGAAAGAAAATACAATGTTCAGAGATTGTAATTAAAAGTTTCTTACTACCTATAAAAAGTTCAGGAGTAAAATAAGTATATAGTCACTTAGTCACTTCCTATAAGGTTGCATGATTCTTGTTTTTTGCAGTAATCAAGCAATCACCCTTGAAGTGCATTTACCTGCTAGGTTTGAATGGTTTTGTATGCTTGTCATCAGGGTTCTGTAGGAGACATTTGTGAATTTAAGCCATAGTTTGCAAGGTACCTACAATTTTTCCCTGATGATATTATGGTGTTGGTAACATAAAAAAACTAATGTGAGGGTAGCATTCCCTTGGCAGCACACTAAATATGCTGCAAGACACATAACCAATGGGTATAATTTGCAAATGTGTATGGAGAATCAGTCTTGACAGTTTTGTTTACAAAGGCAGGCAGCTATTTGCTGAGAAGAGATATGACATGTTATTCATTTTGCTGCTGCTAAGCCAAAGGGATTGGAACTATGATAACAAACTGTTAGATTTGATTGTTGGAATGCTTATGCAATGTTAGTAATAAAGGGTGTTTAAAAGCATATCTCGTTTGTTCTTGGGCAATCATATGGTATTTCTTATAATAATCTTCCTGGGACACTTAAAAGGACAAACTAATTAAAGAACTGATAACTGTCTGGCTCAGCTTTAATGGGTTTGTGTTCTCTAAGTAGGTGTATGTAGGAAATAAGGGCAGACGTGTCTTTATTTCTCTTATTGCATGGGTTGAGGCAAGATGTCAAGTGATGTAGTTGTGGCCTCACACCTCTCAGTTCCTTAATTTTGGCTAGGATTTCCTCCACACGCCTTCCGAAACTGGAAAATAAACAGCTGTAACAATCTCATAAGTAAAGCCTCCTAAGACCTAAAGATAGGACAACAGTAATGGCTTTAAACTGAAAGAGAGTAGGTTTAGATTAGATAAGAAAGAAATTCTTCACTATGAGGGTGGTGAGGCACTGGAACAGGTTCCCATCCCTTGAAGTTTCAAGACCAGATTGGACTGGGCTCTGAACAACCTGCTCTAGTAGAAGGTGTCCCTGTTAATGGCAGGGTGACTGGAACTAGATTATCTTAAGGGTCTCTTACACAAGGGTCTCTTGCACAAACCATTCTAAGTAGTGCCGAGACCTTCAGGGAGCTGAGAAGGGTGTTTCTGGTTTGTTTCACCACACTATTGACCACCAGAAGAATGGGTTAGCATGACTAACACTTCTCCTTTGTCATCAGTCCCCTGCTTCAAACAATACTGAGAAAGTACTTTTCCCAGCATTTCTAAATACCTGCACCATTTACAGCCTCTGCTAACACACTGCTTACACATTTTCTACAAAGCTTATGATTAAAGTAAAAAAAAACCCCAAACTTACATAATACTGTCCAGTGCACAGAGACTACAGAGCTTGTGCAAGCAGATGGATATACATGAGGGGTGGGAATGGAGGACTCAGCCAGTTTTTTGTGAAATACTGCTCACTGAGCTTTGTTCAGTGTGTTCATGCAGCTCAGTAACGTGCAGGTATGGACTGATCCAGCCAATGGCTAAAGTGGTGTTTTTTTCCAGCCATCTCATCTCCACCTCGGCTGAGGTGATGGCTGGATAGGCTGAGCAGGCAGACCAGGCTGACCATCCAAAATGATGCAGATGCCTCACTAATGGATTTAACCAAGGTTGAGTACAGTAGAAGGTAGAAGTAGGTGATGGTGCAGGTTACAGCTTGGTCTGTTGAGTTTGTTGCTGATCCCAGTTCACACCTCCTGGTCAGCTGACTGGAGGGCCTCAGAACTAAATACATCCTACAGGTGTAGAGGCAGGGATGAAGGCTACACCACTTAGTATTCGAGTTGCTGTGCCTAATTCAATCTGAGTGCCACAGTAATACAGGCAGCAGTCTGCATTTTTAAATCCTTACACATAAGTTTACATAAAGACAACGTATGCAAAGCCCAAACTTTCCATAGACAGGATTTTAGAGCTAACCAGCTCAGTCATTCTTACTCACAGTTACAGGTGATATTCTGAATAGCATATGCCATGCCAAAATACAACTGAAATCCTCTTTGAATGCAAGTAGACCACAGGTTTAGCAGCAGCTGTGAGATGGAGACTTACTGTTAATGGCAGATTCAAGTAGCGTGAACAATAATGAGGCTCTGTTAAAGGCGGACAGAGCTTGCCTCCATTAGAACTGGACCTTGAGGATCTGTGTTAATTAACACAGTTTTAAGTGGTGTCAGCTGTTTCTGAGTAAACCTATTGATTAGGTCTTATAAGAATATGGATTTAGAAAGACAGTTATTATCAATAGGTGGGGGTTTAATTTTTTTAATCTCAAAACCTTTTAAAAGTTGTGAAATATTTTAATGGACTGACAAGATTTGATAATAATGTTTTTTGGAAAGCATAAAGAAGAAATCAGTCTTGAATGCAATAGTTTTATATTAATTTCCAGAAGTTCTTAACCTAGTTCCAGACAACACAATTTCTTATGCACATTTTTTACTCCCATTGAGCAGTCTTATTGAGTCAGAGGAGTTTAATCAGGTATAACCATGTTTATAAAATTAGTTTCTTACTTTAGATATTATTTATAAATCAGGAGTTTATATGCTTATTTATTTATAAATCAGTGTCTCAAAATGCATAGATTTGTGTACAAGGATAATCATGTAAGGTACCCCTAAATGTCATCCTAAGGCCAGGGTGCTGGTTACATTAGAGGGATATGGAAAATGATGAAGTCCATGGATGTGCATGATGAGCTCATGGCTGCAGCTTGCCTTGCAGTGGGAGGATCTCTCACCACTGCTTCAATGGGTTGGTCTTCTGTCTGAGGTAGAGGCTGGGCTGTCACTTGTCTTGATGGTGAGAGCAAAGATCATATTTTAGTAGTTATATTAAAATTAAAAGGTGAGACTTTAATTGTATTATTTCATACTTCTTCCCAGAGGGAGCAGCTGCACAGTGTGGCATAATTTAATAAAGCTATCCATCATGTGATGCCTGGATGTGAAAAACTTACCACGTAGTACTGTAAGACACAACTCCGTAGTCCTCGTTTTGTCACTAAAGGCACAGCAGAACCACTATAAATATGCCTAGGCTTTAGCAAATGTTTGTACATTGATCTAAAGTTAAAATATTGACAAACCTCTCTTTTGACTAAGAATTGAGAAATTTTCTGGCCAGAACAAGTTATCTAGTTTTACATTACAAATGCATTTGCCTACTCCTTCCCTACTACAGACATCCAGCCTAAAGAATAAAGAATGCATGTCCAGTAAAAGTTGGTCACACGAGGTGGGGTGCCTGTGTACTGAACAAATTAAGTACCCTTTGTGTGGGCAGGGCGTTTGTTCAGCAGAAGCTACAGGGCTGATGGTTGGCTTCTGTCCCTAGTGCATAATGCAGTAAGCAAATCTCAATAGTACCTAGCATGTATGATGTAGCTCTAGCACACTGGCTTTACTTAAGGCTGCCTGATGGCTTCTCCATGCTTATTACATTGTTTTATATTTTCAGACTTTTTACCCCAAACCATATCCTTTTTTAATTTTAAGACAAAACAAAAAATTTATTTCCTCCCTCTCACCCAGCTACAGAAACAAAGGTTAAAAGTCACATACTTTTGGTTGTCTTTCTCTAAAGCTGCCATGTTACCACATCTAGGAAGCAGAAGGTCCTCGATGATGTGGAACAGCTCACATGCTGCACATTTCCCTCGTTCCTCACATTACCTGTATCTTTCCACGGGCACCTCATGGACCACACAGAAAATTTCTAGGCAATAGGTAGGGGAACTGACAAACCACCTGCTTCTTTGGAGCACAAAAAAGCAACTTGGTCTAGTACTAAACTTGAGGAGCTGGCTTAGCACCAAAGGATCAGTGCTACACTACCGCTCTGTCTGGGAAGCTGAGCTCTGGGCAAACAGTAAGGGCTCCACGGTGGGATCTTTTAACTGCTGGGGCTTAATGAACGTGACAGGGAAAGAGCTTTTAAGGAGGGCTGCTCAGTTAGAGAGCTTATCAAGTTTATATCTGGTCTTAACCCTAGAGTAGTCTAGTTTTGTTACTGCCTTCTTAAAATGTCCCTTGTGAATATACAGTAATGAGTTGCTTTGCTCATTCCACCTCTATACAAATGGCTGAAATCTAGGTACCCTTCAGAGAAGGCATCATACTTACCATTTTTAATTCTGTCAGTCTATTCTAAGTGAGATGTGAATGAGGGGAAATTCTCCTCCCTCTATCCTTTTAACTGCCATGAGAGGGCTGCATGTGTTGACCCCAAGTACCTGAACTGAAGGTCTGAAATCGATAAGGTTGGGAGAGGTTTATAGGATGAGCATTAGAGCACTATGACCAAAAAAAAAAGAAAAAAGCTTTTAAAGGTACCTCAATGGTCAGTGAGCAACTGGACAGTAGAACAATAGGCAAATGAGTGGCAACGTTTGAAATTAGATCTGTGACCTACCACAGACAACGGGGTAAAGGTGCATCTGAAACTCGTTTTTCAGTAGTTCTTGGTGGCTGCCAAGGACAGAATCCTAAGAAACCAGTCTTCACGATCCCATCTACCCTGAGCAATAAAACACCCACCCTTAATTTAACAGGAGTCAGCTCCTGAGGCATAAACAGGCAGCTGAAGCACCGCGCGTAGGCTGACTTCAGTGCTGGATGCCGAGCAGCGCTTGGCACAGGTGAAGAGGTTTTCATCACAGACCTAAATTAACTTCGGTGAAGTTACTCCGTGTCTGCCAGTGGCGGAGGAACAATCTTCGTGTGGGAGAAGCGTCCAGCCTGCCACCCGCCGCCCTCCCTTGCCGGCGCCGCTCGGCCGAACAAAGGCGGCAGCGGCGGGTCCCCTTTGTGCGGCGCGGGCAGGAAAAGGGGCGATCCCGCCCGCTCGGAGCTCCCCGCCCCGCCAGCCCGGCCCGGCGGCGGCCGGGAGGAAGCGCCGGCTGCGCGGCGGGCGGGCGGCTGCGAGCGGCTCGGTCCGGCCCCCGCGCCCGTTCCCGCCCCTCCACCGCCGATCCTCCGCCCCCTCCGCCTCCGCCTCCTCCTCCTCGCGGCGGCGGCGGCGGCTTTCTCGGCTCCGGCTCCTCGCGCTTCTCCGCGGCTCCGCCTCGCTCCTCTCCGGGAGGCTCCCGCGCCGCGCTGGCCAGGACGGTGAGTGCGGCGTCGGCTCGGGGCTGAGCGCTGCGCCGTCCCGCAGCGGTGCCCCCGCTGGCCGGGGGCGGCCCTGGGGAGCGGGGGCGGGCGGGACCCCCACTACCACCCCCACCCCCGGCGGGCGTCTGGCGAAGGGGCTGCGGCGCGGGCGGGGGTGCGGTGCTGGCGGCGCCGCGCTGCCCCGGGGACGGGCGGGGGGCTCGCCCCCTCCGGGCGCTGCGGCAGGAGCCGCCCAGCCCAGCCCTGCCCAGCCCAGCCCTGCCTCGCCACCGGGGGTCGGCGGGCGGGCAGCTCCCTCCGGGGACGGAGAGCAGCCCCGTGGGGTGGGTGTCGCGGGTGGGTGTCGCGGGTGGGTGCCTCGCCGGCCGGGCCGGCTTCTCCCCTGCCTCCGGGAGAGGCGGCTCCGACCCCCAGCTGGCGAGCGGGTCCGCGGCAGAGCGGGTAGAGCGGTTTGGCTCCTCGAAATGCCTCGCTAATGTCAGGGGAAAACATATGGCCCAGGAGAAAGCCGCTGGAAGCGATAGCTGTTGAACTCCTCCGAGTTATTTGCCCGGGTCGGTGCGAAGTGAGAACTTCCTCCCGGGATGCCCTTTCGGGGGATGCGGGGCTGAGCACATGGCTGCCTCCCCTGGGTCTGCCCCGCATCTGTCACAGCACCGCCTGCCACGGGGCCTGCCGGCGCCTGCTCTCCTTTCAGAGTGCTAATCTGACCTCAAGAAAACTTTAACTGGGCAAGGGGAGCAGGCTGATCCAAAGGTAATATACTTAAACATGTTGGGGTTTTTTTCCTTCTCTTCTTCCTTCCCTCTCTCAGACAAGGCCTCTGTGAAAAGGAGGAAAAGAATGGAATTGTGTCCAAGGGTCCAGTGTATATGGCAGCTCGTAGTGCAGAGAGGAAGGTTAAAACTTTCAAAGACCTGTCACTGGCAAATTAACATCTCCAGTGAATCATAGCATTAATTTCTTTAAACTTGAATTTTATGGTCATTTGCGTGTTGATCCTTGCTTGTGTTTGAAGTCTGCAGATACTGTGTTCAGATATTTAAGGATGAAATGTCTCAGTTGTGTTTGAAATGACAATGCTATTGTGTTTTGTAAGCAGCAAGACAGCTTTTATCTTTAATGTAGACCATTTTATCACTCAGCTGTAAATACTTGCTCTGTTTGTAAATCTGCCACTGATTTGTTGGTTGGCTTTGCAAAGGTCGCTTTAGTTCATCAAATACAGGCATTTCTTTTTGGAAAATACCTGTATTGATTTAATATGGTACTGGGTCAAACTTGACATTTATAATTTATTTCACATTTGTACTAATGTGCCATATTAGCCAGGCTTTATAAAGTAACTGTTCCTTGGTTCTGCGTGTAAAGCCTACTGGCAGATCTCGGTGTGTGGTGTACAGGAGGTGTGCAGCTTGGCTTGTGTCTGATGTTAAGTGTCCTACTTATTTAAAAATGTTGGGAGCTCTAAAAAGGTCAGTGTAATCCATACCACACGTGCGCTCAACTGACCTAGAATTAACAAGATAAAGCACTTTTAAGCGTTTCTGGAGTAAAAGTAGGGTGTTACTTCCTCGTGCTAACAATGAATTGGTTTTTCAAAGCATCCAGTGCTATGTTCCCCGATTTGAAGGGTGGCAAAACACCCACCCCGCTGCTGCAAAGGCTTAGCTTAAGCTGGTGAGATGGGTCGTGAGAGCAGAAGGCACCAGCAGTGTGAAGGTGCTCCCTGGAGAGATGAACATGATGGTGGCGGTGGCCAAGGGAAGTGGGTGCAGAGACCACCATCAGGGACGGTGGGCAGCCCTTGCCGTGGTGTGGGACTATTGGAGCTGACGAGCTGTGTGCGCTTTCAGGGCCCTCATTTTATGTGGGTTAATAACTTAGCATGTCAGTTGATATTTCATGCTGTGGCACTGAGTTTCCCCTCTGGGTTTCAGGAGGCAGCAGGCAGGTGCCTGTGCACCGCGGTGGAGATGCAGGCATACCAGGAATGTGGTGGTTTGTGTGATTTACTGCCTCAATGCCTTGCACTTGCCTGTGCCAGCAAGTTCACTCTGTTGCACAGAAGGCCCAGACTGCCTTCATGCCAGTGCATCCATGTTAGGAAAATCATGTCGCAAGCTAAAGTTAAGAGGGTAGCAGTGTTTCCCAGATTCGTGTGGAGACCATTCACCGTCACTTCGCTAGAGAAGTTCATGTGTCCTGCTGTAGCACTTGGCCAAAAGCACCCTCCTTTCCTGCTCCTCATGGGCTTGTGGTAGGCATGCTGGAAATCTCAAATTGTTACTGGAGGCACTTAATATAGGTGCAGTCTTCCACTGGAAAGGAGATGGTTTTCTGTTAAAGGTTCATGCTGTGCTTCAAAATCTGGAGGGCTAAGTTTGATTTAGTGAGGCAAAACTCAGTCAAATTGTAGAATGTAGCCTTGCAAACCTGTTAGAGTTGCTCAGAGCTACAGAGCAGCTTTTAGATACTGTGCTAGTGTATAAAGGGAAGGTGTTTCTCAAATGTGCTTTTGTAAGTACATTTCCCAGTGCTGACTAAGTTGGAAGTCAGTACACTGGATTATCACAGGGTAGATTTTGGCCATTAATTGTGATGGAACGCAGAGTAAATGAAGGGTCATGTTTACAGCCTGCCCAGAACCAGAGGATATATCTTTAAATTCTGGAACATCTCTGGTCTCTCACTGGCTGACAATGTTTCTTGCTTTCCACTGCTAGATTAGAGCTCCTAATTTTGAATTAAACTGAAAGGTAAGTATATGTCAGCTACAAAGTGTTTTTATTTCAAGGAAGTTTCATTTTAGCAGGGCACGTTCTGAGAAAAGAACTAGTTTGATTTGTCCACAGGGTTGAAGACCTGTAGGAGTTGGAGGTTTAAATAAAATTAAAAAAAAAAAAGAAAAAAGAAAGGCTTGGACTGTCTTAAATGGAAGGTACAACGGGTGCTTGGAAACTGCATTTTAAGGAGGAGAGAAAGCTTGCCAAGAGGGGCTGTGGACCTTGCTCTGAGAGTAAGATACTGCAAGTTACCAGAAAACCTATAAGGAACGAAGTGAAGGAGTAGATTGACTGTTGGAGAGCAGAAACTGCAGGAATAGGATCTGAATTGCCAAAAGCTAGAGGATGAAGAAATTTAAGATGAAGAGGGGAAAAATAATAAAAGGAGGAGGAAAAGAGACCTTGGCTATGTTGTTGTGAGGACCAGGCTATAGTTGAAAAATGTATCTGCTGCCTCTAAAATTAGCAACTGTAACCAGTTTTAGATAAGGATAAAGATTTGAACAGGGAAGAAAGATAGGTTAGAAATAAAAAAATCCATGGAAATGACCAAAATAAACATCTTACGCCTGCTTCCAGAATCCAGACTAAGTCAGCAAATGGTCTCTGTTTTGGGAGTCTGAAAGTGTTGGCACAGAACACTGGAGCCAGGTTAAAAAAACCCTCAGGATTGGTTGTTGTTTGTCAGGTTGAATGTAGCAGTTGAGATAGTAAGATAGCAAAAGACATAGTTCTGTTTATTTTAAAAGGAGAAGAGAACAAAATCTTTACACCTTTTACTCTGGCCTCAGTAGTATTCAAGGATTTAGAACAAATTTGGAACAGAAAAAGTAATTAAGTGTACAAAGATAAGTGGAAAACAGGATAAAATGCATCATGGATTTGCCACAATTAGGTCATGGAAGACTAAAATCTTATTATTACTGGTTAAATACTGAATGTTGTAGACAAAAGGAGCAGAAGGCTTCAGTTCTATGTGTACACACCATGGCGGGCATGACACTGAAAATAGCTAAACTGGAAATGCGAGGCTTGGCTGAAGAATGGTGAGGTGTCTCCTGAAGGAGAAATTGTGACTCTGCGTGAATAAAGGAATTACTGATCTAGATCAGTATTAGTGGTGAACTGGTCTCTTTACTTCACCATACTGGCTGAGATAACTGTATGAAAAGGATAATTAGCTAACTTAGCTGATGAGGCTAAGTTAGGAAACCTAGTCAGCACTGAGGTGAGTTGGATTACTGCACAGGAAGAATTGAATGTCTGTGATGACTGAAGCAATAGGAATGACAGGAAGTTAAATAGCTCTAAAAGCAAAGTTATCTACTGAATGATTATTATCAACAAGTCTGCTATCATCTGGCAAGTCATCCCTTAAAACAGGAGTGGAGGAAAAGGCCTGAACTGCCACAGTCAAGCAGGGGTACTCTTACGTGATATACTGTGTGTGAAATGGAAGCAGATGTGATCCTCAGTGAGAGCACTTCGGTGGAGATAGACAAGGTATTAGGGAGAGTTCATGTCAAATACTGTACATAGTTCTGGGCACTTATGTACAGAAAATATTAAATTCTAGTGGAATGTGTACAGGAACATCCAAGCTACAAAGATGATGCTGTATGAAGAGTCTGGAGTTACATGAGAGTCCAAGACTTAAGGTACTCTGGCTTTTGTGGCTTAATAGTGGCAGAGATGGGAGATAGCAACTGTTTATAAATTCCCTGAGGCAGATTTTTGGAGAAGAGGAAGGGTCATAAACTGAAGGTTTGTTCTGTGATTTTGGATTAAAAGCTTGATGTACAGAAGGATGATGTGATGGCTTGCTTAATGAATGTTAGAATAATGTACATGAGGAATTCAAAAGGAATTTCCTAACTGTCAGATTTTAGATGCCCTGCTATCTGTAGGTCTCCTAAGTACCAGCTAAGTGTTGAAGTTTGCATGTGACTGTTAATGAATTGAGCAGTTCAAGTTACTGAAGCTACCATATTTTATGCTTTGGTGTTCACATGTAATCAAAAGAAATAGAAATCACTTCAGTAAAGGAAGTGCGATGAGCAGAAGCACTTATTTTTGGGAAGTGTGTGTTGTCCAGTCACTTCATGGTGAATGGAATTTATAACAAGTGAAAACACTCATATATGACATTAGTAGCTGCTGCTTTTTCTTCTCCTTTTAGTGCATAATGGAGTAGAATCAAGCTTAACTCAT